AGTCAATAGATGTGATCCGCAGGGAGCGGTGACCGCGGCGGAGGGGCAGGAGGAGGCAGAAGCTGTTTAAAGGCAGCAGTGAAAGCAGGATCAGTGCAGGGCGCGGCGCTGGCCCTCACCGCGGCTCCATCCCTGCGCCAAACCCGGGGTCACGCAGCCCCCGTGGAGTTTGCTGTGACACCGCGATGGGGCTGTTGGTGCGCTTCAAGCACATCGGCACGGTCCCATCCCCGTGGCACACACCGGGAGCACGGCCGTCGGCACCACCGGGACAAGCTCCCTGGTGAGCACCGCGCCCTCATCCAGCTCAGATGGACTCCGCAAAGGGAAAGCACCGAGAAAGCAGCCGGTGCTTGTGGGTGGGCTGGAGCAGCGCGGGCTTGGACGCCGCCGTGTCCCATCGAGCTGCTCCATCCTCCGGTCATTTGCAATAGAGAACTGAAGCAGGGAGGGTTTCCAAGCCCAACACGGGGCTGGACGGGCTCCAGCGGGAGGTGGATGGTTTGGTTTACGCTGCACAGGCTTTAAAAATAACAATGGAAGGAGCCGCGAACGCAAAGGGAGCCGCTGCAGCCGAGCGCTCGCGTTGTGCCCGCAGGCTGGGCCGCCGCAGGCAGCGGCTCGGCCGAGCAGCACCGGAGCAGCCTGAAATGCAGACAGCGGCCCCGGTGCAGGGGCTGCAGCGCGGCCCCGGAGCCTCCCCCCCGCAGCCAGGGAACAAGAAAACATTCTCCTTGATGGAAAGCAAGCACCAACCCCGGGGCAGGCGGCTCCGGCAGCACCCGCGCTGGGCACGGCAGCAGGCGGGATGCGCATGGCACGGCACAGCACAGCACAGCACAGCATGGTGCATTGCCCTGCGGCACAGCCCTGTGGTGCCTTCAGCCCACAGAGCCACGGAATGGCCTCATCTCTGACCTGAGCCTGGTTCAGTCTGAACCCATCACCCCTTGTCCCATCGCTGCAGTCCCCGGTGAAGAGCCCCTGTCTGGCATCAGCCGCGCTGCCGGTGGTGGCTGGGTCCATCCGTGTTGCTCCAGTCCAGGCAGGGGTTGCAGCCGAATTAACACCAAGCTGCTGGGTCTGTGCTGATCAGTGACTGCTGCAGGGCTGGAGGGCTGCAGGAAAGGCCGTGGCCTGAGCTGCTGGTGGTAGCCACGGGCCAGCCGGTACATGTGAGGCTCAGGCCGTGCCGGGATGCAGGAGGAGCTGCGGTGGCAGCAGCAGCCTGGGGCTGGGGTACCACAGCAGAGGTGGGGCGCTGGGCTCTGCTCGCTCTGACGGCCACAAACTTGCTGCCGAACTGGCCTGGGTGTTTGCCCCTCGACCCGCTGGGGCGATGCCCAATGGGCGATGGTGTCAGGCTGGGCGCAGGGGCTGTGGCAGCGACCCCGAGGTCCATCGCTGGTGCCTGCAGCAGGGTCGGTGCCGCCGCTTGATCCCTCACCCGCGGGGTCAGGGAGCAGCTTAAGGCGATTACTGCCCCTGGGTGCGTGCGTGCCGGGAGCGCCGCAGGGCGGGAGCCCGCTGCAGGTCCCAGCTCAGGGTTAATCCTGCCCCCGGCTGTCAAAACCCGGCTGATCCCTGCCGGAGCCAGGGGGTGCCCGGGGAGAAGCCATCCCCGGGAGCGGTGCTCACCGGGGTGTGTGGGGTCACAGAGACCTCCGGCTCTGCCCTGGCTCTGACCTGGGCCTGGGGTGGGGGGAACCCTGCCCCAAAGCCGCAGAAACTCCCGGTTTCTGCCCATGGCGTGAGCCTGAGCAGGGTCACAGCATCCCTGTGGCACCATGGTCCCCTTGCCGAAACAGGGCTGGGACATCCCCCATGAGGGACCCCAAAGGACGTGTTCCCCCCTGGCCCTGGCCCTGGTGGGGGGGTTCAGGCCCCTGGTCCCATCCTTCTCCCGCCGCCAGCCTCGGCCCCGCTGACATACCAGACTGCGCAGCAGTAATAGCAGGGTTGCCTGCCAGGTGCATAGTTTGACCAGTGGGATCGCACGTGCCAAACCACAGGTATTTTATGAGACGTTTCCTGTTATGAAGACATTTTTGTGGGGATTCATTTTTTCTTTCTTCCCTTCTTCTTCCCCTCTCCTCCTCCTCCTCCTCCTCCTCCTCCTCCTCCTCCTCCTCCTCCTCCTCCATTCCATCCCAGCAGGACGGTGCCTGCCCGAGGCGCAGCAGAGACTCCTTTCCCAATAGCCACAAGTTGGAGCAAGGCTGGAACCGGAGCGCCGGAGCTGGGACACGCAGTGATGCTGGAGGGTCCCAGCCCCTTTTCCACCCTGGCAGCCTCCAGGCAGGGTCTGGAGCCCCTCTCCCGTGCTCTGTGCAGCCCAGCAGTGGGGCCCAAGCTGTGTGAAGCCCAAATTGCTGCATGAGCCCGTGCTGTGACCTGGGCACAGCCTCCGGTACCGGATCCTGGTGTGGGATGTGGAGCATCTGCCCAGAGACCCCAGGTGGGGCCGTAGCTGCAGGAGCATCACCCCCCGAGCACCGGCTGGGTCAGCCAAAGCAGCCCCGCTCCAGGGACACATAAGCTGTGGTGGAAGCAGACGGTGTTTGCCCGGGGTCCCTGGGTCAGAGGCTGCTCTTCCCTGCACAGAAACGGCGTTTTCCAACGCAAGGGGTGTTTTGCAGAGCAATCCTCTAATCCCGGAGGGACCCGCGGAGAGCGATTCCCATCTCGGGGAATGCGTGGGCAAGCGGCCATCAACCGCAGACATTTAAACTCCCAGCCTCGTGCTGGGGTCACTGCCTTAATTATAACGAGCTGTGGTCCAGGCCAGAGCCTTGTGGGGTGCTCAGAGCAGCCCAGGCAGCGCCTCGGGGGGATGCAGCTCCTGTGCCTGAGTGAATGCAGTGATGCTACGGCTGCTCCAGCCCCTGTGCGTGCAGCCCATGGGGCAGGGAATGGAGGGGGCCAGGGATGCCCAAGATACCCAGAGGGGACAGGGGAGAGGCTGGGTGTGAACCAGGTTCATCCCGCAGGTATTAAACAAGTGTCTGCTCTGCAGGACGTGTCCATTCCATCATGTCCAGGATCATCAGACCCCAGCGCTGCCATCCCACCCCTCTGTTCATCAGCCCTGATGTCCACCTCTCCTGCAAGAGCCCCCTCTGGTTGTAAACAGGAGCCTCAGCTGTGGCCCCTGCCCTCTCCATGCTCCATCCATCACAACAACCTCATGCCATGAGGAAGACAGGCTCCGGAGCAGTGGGAGCACATGGGGACAGCAGCTCCCGAGCCAGTTCCTGGTGCCATTGGTTGTCAGCTCACTCCCACGTTACCACCACGGTGTTCCTTGTGCCATCGTTTTCCCAGGCTGAGCACCACCAGCACCCTCCCAGCTGCCCGCATCCGATGGGAAACGCGTGAGCTGCTGCTTGCCCTCTGCAAAGCACCAGGGAACATATCCCAGCCTCCCGCATGGAACAGCCTCGCCGTGTTTATCCTAACGGTCATTCTGGGTTAGTGTCAGGGCTTGAAATCCCCCTCCCTCCTTTTGCTGGGTCCTTTGATCTCCGGTTCCTCTCCTCTTCCAGCCTTTTAGCAACACCCCAGGTGAGGCTGCGTGCGCCTGCCCCGTGCCTGCATCCTGCAGCGCTCCCGCAGCGCATCCTCACCGTGCGCATCCTCACCTCGCACGTCCCCCGCAAACCCCTCTGGGGTAACGCTGCCGAAGCCCCCCTCACCCTCAGAGCTGCATTTCCTTGGGGCTCCAGCATTTCAGGGGTGACCCCAACAAGGCAGGAACCCCCCCTATTCACTGCAAACCTTCCCCATCGCTGCCCATCCCGGCACCTGGTCCCCAGGGCTGTGTCCTCTGCACTATGGCATGGCCACAGGCGATGGGGCTGTGCCCCAGTGTGGCGCTGGGGGCTCACACTGCCTGCCTTAGGGTTAACCCATGCAGGTGCTGCACTGATGGGCTCTGGGCACCAGGTCCCCCTGCCTCCGTGCCGCTGCGCCGGCTGCTGCCCCACGCCTGGGGTTAGCGAGGGGGAAATACTGTTTATGCTTCTCCAATATCTGCCTTCTGTTTTGCATTTGCCTTTTCTTCAAAGATCGGGAGCCGCCTCTGCCAAGATTCCGGAGATCTCCTCAGAATGCCGACCGCGCTCCCCGCCGCACTCAAAGCAAACAACCGGCAGGCCAAGGATTGATATGAAATAGTTTAAAAATGAGAAAAAGCTGCCTTAGAGCTAGGTTTACATTAACACAGAGCTCAGGAGCCGGAGCCTCGCCTGCGCCCCTCCCCGCCGCGGGGGGATTGGGTTACCTGCCCGCTCCCAGCCCTGCTCACCGGGGGCTCGCCAGGGCCAGATGCGGTGCGAGGGGTCCTGGTTCTTCCCCCCAGCATCCCGACAGGGACCCTCCCACCCTGCACATCCCCACCCCGGCGCTCGCTGACCCGCGCTCCATCCCAACCCCTGCCCATGTCCCAGCCCTGCGGCAGCGCCCGGGGCAGAGCATCCCAACGGGGACCAGCTCCTGCTGGGAGTGGGGTCAGGATGGGCACTGGTGGAGCTGGGTGAGCTGTGGGGCAGCGCAGTGGGGAGGAGGAGCTGACAAGCCCCACCCTGGCTTGGGGCTGTCAGAGGGTTAAGACTCTCTTTGCCTCCCAGTAACCCAGTCAGGACAACGAGCATTTGGTCCCAGCAGGACCCAGTGCATCCCCCAGTGCTGCAGCTTGAACCCTCCCCATCCTGCTGCCCTGAGCATCCCTTCCTGGTTCCCATCCTCATCCCGTGCCCACCCCTGCTGCCGCCGGGGCCATGCTCCATAGGGCATCTTTCCTGGCCCGGCAGGGCTGCAGACGCGCATTCAGAGCCCGGCGAGGAGGGGACGGAGCCCCTCGGGCACTGCTCTCGTTCGTGTGATTTAATTCAGTTTAATTTATGGGCGCTGATTGAGGGCCCGGCAGCCCGAGGTGAGCAGTGGAAACTCTGACAAGGCGCTGCCATAAACCACGCTCCCGCCGCCCGCCTGGCGCTGGCCCCGCGCTGCCGGCTTGGGTTTCAGCTTCCCCCTGCTCCATAATGAGCGTTTCATGGGCTGGGTGCAGGAGCCTGCACGGGGGCTCTGCGGGGCTCCCTGCACCCATCCCGGTGCCCCCCCCCAGCACGGGACCTTCTGTCGGGACAGTCTGGGATATTTTCCCGGAATTCTGCGTGTCCGGACGTTTCAACCCCGCTGATTCAGCTCCTTCCACTCCTCACTTCGCAATTTTCACTCCTTTTTGCAAGTTCGTTTCCACATTTCCTTTGTCTCGGAGCCGAAAGCCTCACAGGGAATTCCAGTGGCTCTGCTTTCCTGGGATTGCGCCAACCCCCCCCATCACCACCCCATGGCAGAGGCAGCTGACTGGGCCAGGCGGGTGCCGTGTCCTGGGGGATGCAGGGAGCTGCTCGCCGCTCCCACGTGCACCCGCTCTGTTTGTCCTAAACAAAGAGCTTCCAACCCCGTGTAATGCCGCGATCTGATCACCAGGCTCCCAACTCCCGGTGCAGTCAAATATCTCATTGAATGTCCCCTGTAGAGCAGCCAGACCTGCACCACACCGGAGCAGCTGAAAGGAGACTGGGATGGATGGGATGCCCCAGAGCATCCCAAGGGAACAAAACAACTTCTGGATTCACGTAGGAGAGAGGAGCAGCCAGGACAGCACCGGGAGCGAGTGGAGACAGAACCAAAGGCTGGGGACCTTCGCAGGCCCCAGGGCTGAGGAGCCTTGGGCATCTCCGCTACCACTGACCCTTCACCAAGCAAAACTGGGTCCTGGAGCCCAAGCACCAGTGGAGATCAGCGCAGAACAGGCACCTGTGCACTGAGGGCCTGGACTCGATCATCTCCAGGCCCTTTCCAGCCCTCCCTACCCTGTGAGTCTCTGTTTCCTCAGTGGAACTCGTTCATTCCTGTTGGAGCCGCCAGCCCCGGGGCAGGAACGCAGCCGGCGGCTCTCGGGGCTGTCCCCATGTCCCTGTAAGTGTCCCACAGGCACCTTTTGCAGGAGGATGGGATGGAGCCTGCAGCGGTGATGGCACAAGGGACGTGCCCTGCCCTGGGACCAGCTCAGGGGCATCGGGGGGGCTGTGCTCCCCTGCAGCCGGTGGGGCCGGTGCTGCGCTGAGGGCAGGGGATGCATTCATTGCAGACCCCGTGTTTAGGATCCAGCTCCTGTTTGCCGGGCAGAGCTTCCCTCTGGGCTCTCATGTGGGAACCTCCCCCTGTCCCCGCTTGGGACCCGCTGCCCAACCAGGGCTCATCCTGCCCAGGGCTATGTGGGGCCTTGAGCATGGTGAGGAGCCCCTGCCCCTGCACCCCTTCACTGGGGGACAGGCTGCTGGGTGCTCAGGAGGGGCCTGGCTCCCGCTGCACCACCCAAGGGACTCCAGTGCCCATCCTGATTGCTCCGTTGTCAGGAAGAAGATCCCAACCCAGGGAGCAGATCCCGACGTGGGGACCAGATCCCAACCCAGGGAGCAGATCCCGACGTGGGGACCAGATCCCAACCCAGGGAGCAGACCCCAGCCTGGGGCAGATGCTGGCACGTTGCTGCCTTCTAGGAAAGGGTGGGCACGTGGCATCCCCGGCTCGGGGCTGTGGATGCTGCGCTGCCGCGCTGGCCTGGCACTGACTGAGCCTTCACATGTGGCAGCGAAACATGGGGAAAGAATTAAATGTGCTTAATTCATCCCATTTTTCTAGAGGACAATTCCAGCACCAAAAGAAGTAAAAGCCCAACAAACAAAAAGAGAAGAGAAACCTAAGAATCCCTTCAGCCTTCACTGGGAGCTGCGGAGGGAAGCAGCAGGGATGGCAGCAGGCAGAGTCCCCAGGGAGGGTCAGTGTGCCCCAGATCTCAGCACCGAGGTGCTGGTGGGGCTGAGCAGCACCAGTCTCACTGCAATGGGAACCACTGGAATGAGCGGAGCTGGGCAGCAATGGGAGGAAAGTCCCAGAGGATCCCATCCCATCCCAGTGCCTGGCCAGGGCTCAACGCGCCTCCGGTGCCTCCGGGCTCCCGGGAGCCTTCCTGCACGAGCCCACGGACATTTTCCACCTCATTTACAGCAAGAGCATGAAAATGCTGTTTTGCAAAGGCTGGAATGCCAGGCCCTGGGTGGGATTTGGCAGGGGCCGATGGGAGGATGGATGGCTCTGGCCACGACCCGGTGCCGGGAACCCAGCATCCGTGCTGGCCCTTGGCACGCTGCAGCCGGTCCCCAAGGGAAGCACTGGGGGCCACCACTGCCCCTGTCCCCCCCAGGCAGGGCAGGCAGCGGCCAGCACAAGGCTCCCGGATGGGTCCTGCCCCGTGCTTGGCTCCCGGCGCTGCCGGGATGCTTTTGTCGGGAAGTTACTGCTGCCCCTTCCCACGGCCCCACTGGGCTCTGCCAGCGCCCGACCACGGCCCCTTGTGCCAGCAGAAAGGAAGCACTGCCCAAGGCCAGCGTCCCACCACCTCCAACCATCCCAGCACCGATCGGTCTGGCCACCGAGCACCCTCGGCGGGGACACGGGGCTGTTGCAGGGGCTTCAGCAGCACCCAGAGAGGTCTCCAATGATGTTGGTTATAAACGAGCTGGCTCCAGCCCAGCTCAGCCAGGTCCCATGCAGGAAAAAGCCCAACGGAGCCAACACAAACAGCGCCAGCAGCATCCCCACACCGCAGGAGGCAACACCGAGACGGCCAAGGATGCTCCAGCTGAACTGCCCAGCCCCGGGCTGCCGGCGGGATGGAGGTGCCCATGTACCACGGCTCCAGGGCTGGGATTCGGCAGCACCCAGCTGCCACCATGGGTTCAGAGCTGCCCTGGGTGGACCCAAATGTGTGGCACAGAAGAGCCCGTGCCCTGCTCAGGGTCTGCAGAGCTGCAGTAGGCAGCAACTGCTGTGGGACCGGTGATGCTGCGGCTGCCCCCAGCTCCCTACCCTGCTCCCCTGGCACTCCATAGGGACAATGAGCCCTGCTCGCGGTCAGTGCTGTCTGCAGGGACAAAGGACCTCAAATACTGTTGGGGGTGAGGGTCCAGCCATGCCTGAGAGGGCAGAAGGAGCTGCTGCACGGATGGGTTCCCCTTGGCACTGGCTCCAGCCCCCAGCAGCACGGCAACAATTGGGTTATTGTGAGCGTGCCGCTGGGGACACGAGTGAGATGGGGAATTCCACAAACCCGGCGCTTTCCCCTTGTCCCATTCACTTTCCCAGCCCAGGCTAATCCCTTCAGATGCTCTGTCAGCACAGCCACGGTCCCGCAGCCTGCACGGAGGGACCCCAGCTCCTGGCCCCCCTCTCCCTTGGGCACCATCCAAGGGCAAAGGCGCTGCAGTGACGTGGTCCCAGCTTCTCCCTTCAGAGCCAAGGTGGGAGCAGACAAAAGCCCTGGGAGCGCCAGCTCCAGCCGCTCCAGGGACCTGGCTAATGGGGTCCGTTTGCTGGGTAGTTCTTGGAATAACAAATTGTATCATCCAAAAAAGCAAAACCACAAAAGGGGATCGGCTTGCAGCCCGGCTCACAAAAGCCCCTTGTCTGGAGGCTCCCCCAATCTCCAGGAGGAGACTCCATTGAACAGAAAGAAAGAGCCCCTGCGCTCTCACGCTCTGCCCAGCAATCCATGGATCAACCCCATACCACGGATGCCCTCGTGCCGGGGGCATCCCCACCAGCCTCTCCTATAGGAGCATCCTGTAGCCAGGTCAGACCTGGAGGCTCCGGGCACGGTGCAGCCTCTCTCACCCTATTGCAAACCCCATCTCCCAATCCCTCCAGGTCAAACACACAGGGAAAGGGCAGCCCCCGGCTCCAACGTGGCTCGTGCAGGATGAGGGAAGGGTGAGCCATGGATTTCCCCGCATTAGGATGAAGGATGAGACTTGACCCCTGCTAACCCCTCTAATCCTCCTCTTGTTCATCACTCCCAGCTCTCCTGGGCTTGGAGCCCAATGGGGAGGCAGACATGGACAGCAAGAGCCGCTCTGCAAGTGGTGATGCACCGGGGGCTGAGGGACCAACCAGATGGACCCATCAGCTGCTTCCAGTTTCCAGCTCCCATGGGCGCATCCCATGCCTGTGCTTGCAGCCAGACCCCTGAGGTCACTCCCAAGGTTGCAAACATCCATTTGCATCCTAATAGGAAGCATTACATGAGAGGCCCACCTGGGTCCTGTCCTGGGAGGCTCCAAGAGGCGGAATGGTTGCAGGGAAGAGGGTTAAACCCCTCTCCACTGGGGCTGTGCCCCAGAATAATGGGATTTTTTGGCTCTTCCACCAGCTGAGGTTGGACCCCAAGAAGCAAATCCCAGCCCGTTCCAAAGGCACCCAAGCAGCCGGCCCTGCAGGGGTCTTGCCTTTGGAAGATGCTCCCTGCCATGCCTCCAGCTCAGCAACAAGGTGGAGAGAGGTTTGCTTCTCCCCCAGTCACAATCTCCCCACCTTTGCATGCAGCGCAGGAATGGCAGCTTCCAGCCCCCATCCAGGAGCACCACTGCGGCCCCCAGCCCCAAAACTCACTTGATCTATTGGCAACCTGTCACCTGAGCAAAGCCTGCTTGGGTTTGGGCCAGGTTGCATCCCTGGACCAGGCACCACCAGCCAAGGGGCTCAGGCACTGCAGCATCTCCCTTGTTCCCAGCTGGATGCCCGGACCCGAGCCCAGCTCTGGACCAGGAGCAGCCCCAGCATCGCAGCTCATCTGCTGCCTGCCCAGCAGTGCTCCGGCTGCATTCCTGCCCTAAGTACCGCGGATTTGCTGTGCTTTAGGAAGAACGAAAAGAATGTTTTAAATGAAATTAATTCTTACGAACGCAAGATTTCATCAAAGAGCTGCCTGGGCATGGTTTGGCAGAGCAGCCCCTGCGCTGCACTGGCCTCCCCCGCGGGGAGGAAAGTACTCGCTATATAACAGTTACAGACTCATCGTACAGCTCTGCTTAGAGCTGCTCGGAGGAGCTCTGGGGTCTTGCCCTAACTCATGGTTTATGCTCAGCAACAGCATCACACGT